TCTGATGCATTAAGACTGTGTATAGCGCAGTATGAGCCAGGTTGTGCTTGGCGTGAAGGGGAGAGGAGGCAGCGATTCCTGTACTCTGCTGTGGCCTGTGAGTACAGGGCTTTAGAGCAGTAATGCTGTGGATGTATCACAGCTGTCTGAGCGTGAGCCCAGGAAACACTGATTTGGGAGGAAGGCATTTCCTGTAATTGGCGCCATATCACAGCTCGGCATCAGAAGGTTGTACTTCAGCATTGTCAAAATGATAATGAGCATGGAAATTTTACTGTACTTCTGCTTTTACTACTAGTTTGAGTTGCAGTAGGCACCAAAAAGACTTTCCTCCGTCAGCGTGAATGCTGTCATGACCCTTAGGCTTCATTAGCACAGTGTCCTCAGCCTGGGAACGACTCTGGGAGCGCAGAGCCTGGCACTAGTCTATCAGCTCCAGACACAGCGCCTGCCCGAGCCATTACCTGCAGAAGGAATCTGTAAGTATCTGCTCTGCGCTCCCCTGCCAGAAATTCAAGATGCAGACATAGGATTTGGTGCTAACCTATTACATCCTTACTTGACTGGATCTGAGCAATCCGCGACCTTGTTCTGCGACTTTTTTTCAAGAGTTCCCAGCTCAAACACACGAGCTGGCCCAAGGCTGCTCTTCCTAGTGGTACTAAAGTGAACTGAACCTTTACCAAATCTCATAAAAGGCCCTTCTCGCAAAAGATTGGCAAAAGCCCCGGCTAAAAATAAGTAATCCAGCAATCGCCCTCCCCAGAGGAAGCCGCATAGCTCTACAGTCTGTGTTTTTGGGAGGGGAAACTTAGTCCCCGGGTGATTTAACACCGCACACGGACTGAGCACACGAGGATGAAAGCGCCCGAGGTGGTACCCGGCGCGCAGACAGGCTCGATGCAACACGAAGCAGCCCCGCTGGGGGTACTTTTTATTCCTCTGGGTGCCCCCGAGTGCCGCGGCGCGGGCCGGGGGCACCTCGGCGCGGTGCCCAGGGGAGGCCGGCGGGGCCGGGGGACTGGGGCCGGCGATGGGCACCGCAGCG